AAAAAAACAAACCCAAATCCCATTTCATGATCATTTGTTATAGGGAACAAGGTGTAGTGGTGGGACACAATAATTAAATGTTTAATTAAAAATGCAGTGTATAGCACTTTCTAAAAAGCTAAGCATTTGCTCTGTGTGAAGGAGAGAAGTTCTGGMTGAACAGATTGCAGTGAAAACATTAGCATGCAGTATTTTCTAGGATRTGACTAATCTCAGACCTGTCTTAAATGTACCATGAGGTTCTTAGGTTTTTTCAAAGGGCCAAGTGTRCAGTAAGGTTCTCCACACATCTTTTCAGAGACAAAATGTGTTTTAGTTTCTCATTGTGTTTCTCYCTACCTGTTGCTTAAGACAGCCATAAAGACACATCATTGTTCACCCTGCAGTGTGACATACTTGATATGGGAGAATGAAGTAAAATGGTATTTTTCCCTTGTTTTTTTCATTTATCCATTGTTGTTGTCAACCTGATAACAAAACTGTGTTTAAGCTRATAAACTGAGAGTGAATTTGCTTCTCAGTAATTATATTCTCTAGCATCAACCTACTTCATAGATGTGAATAAAAAACAAGGACTTTCTTACTACAGCCCTATAAATATCTATTCCAAGACACAGAGGTTTCATCCCCCTGGCATCCCAAAGAAAAGTAGCCTTGCCTATTTGGATTCAATATATGGATTCTGGTATATCCTTTTTAGAAGCAGGAATGTGAGAAAAAAAACCCATGAGAACATTAATACAGCTATAAAAATATTTTCTTTCCCATTTAATGTTACTAGGAAGATAATTTTCTACTGATACAAAATGACATCTTTAGAGCTTCATACAGAAAATTACTGAGGGTATCCAGTTAGRTTATAGGAGAGTCTATAGGAGTCTAACTGTTGTTTGCCTGTTCATTCAAGCATTTAATGCCCTAAATTCCAGGAAATGAGGGGGTTTGGGGGGTTGTTCACTTGGTTTTGTGTGGTTTTTTGTTGTTGTAGTTATTTGTTGGCTTTTTTTGGTTTGGTTTTTGGGATTTTTTTTTGGGTTTGTTTTTTTTTGGTTTTTCTTTTGTTTTTGGTTTTTTTTTTACAATTCCAATTGAAAATTTAAATTGGAACTTAAAAGATTAAATCAAAGACTGCAATGTAAGATTTCTGTTTCATAGAGTAGAACTGAGAGGTGCAAATAACTGTGTTGACCTAYTTATTCTGCAGAAAATTTTTCATGGATAAGGAATTACAAAATCCTAGATGGCTAGACAACTTAAGTGAAACTTTGGGGTCAGCTACTAATTATTAATCAGTATACTGATTCTTGGAGATTGCTCCCAGAGGTTTGACTAAGTCTGCATTGCCTACCTTAGGTCTGGATGAACTTTAGGTTAGCAATCAGCTTGTTTTKCTCTCTAGAACCTTCAGGGATCTCTTTGCCCTTAAAATCTCAAACAAGGTCACATCTGAGGAAWACTAACATAGCTGTATACATTACACTATGGTCCATGAGGAGACCCTTTCTCCTGATTCTAAGGAGAATTTTCTAATTATATGTTCAAATTGTATGGAAAACCTCCCTCCAGGCTGCTCTGGCTTTCAATATTGGTGTTGGTAGCTTTAGGCAGAAAACTTGATCATCCTTACTAGAGTTTTCTAGAGACACTCCAAGAGTGCAGCTCTGTTTCACAGCCTCRGTGATGCTCTGAGCTTTTTCAGAGACTGCAAGACTTGCCAGTCTGTAGAGGAAYACTTTTTTGTCAGCCCAAAGAACTTCCACAAGGCTTCACTCAAGRTATCACTCTGCTGTGGTCCGATGCCTCTATCAAAACTCTTACAATGGGCAGAAGAGGGCATGGCAATTGCTCAACATTCTCCAGTCATGGGATGCACACTTCAGTCTTTGGACAGGACCTGCAGAAGGGCCTCTCTTCTGCAGGATTGCTTTCATGTCATTTGTAAGTTCCTGACCTGACTGGGAAGATGCTACCTATGTTCAAATGCTTTTATACAATAACAGTTGCTAGAGTGGATCCCTCAAATGTGGCCTATTCTATCTCTTTCTCCTGATTTTGGTCCATTGTTCCATTCCAAAATTCCAACACTATTAGGAAAATTTGTCAGCCTGCCTGATCCTAATCTCAAAGGTCACACATATATAGATGAAGGTAGGCATTTGTAGTCTTCTATATCCACAAACAGAATTGCATGAGATCTTTTCAGAGGGTTCAGATATGGCCATCTCCAGTTTTAAAGCAGCAAGGAAAGCTATAGTCATTGCCTACTGCAGGATGAAAGCAGCGTTATAGATCTCCACTGACATAAGCTCCACTACTGAATTGTTCTCTGAGTGCTGTAATAAGAGTAATCTATCTTAAAATATTGTCTTGTTTCCTTTAAGACAGAAAAATTCTTATGTTCATATTTGGAACCTGGTTTCAAACACATCATCATCAGCCATACCCTACCAGAAGTGAAATCCTCATTTTAGCTTTTGTCTGAATTATCTTGTGACCTACAGTTTCTGCCTGACAACCCATTCTAGCACTCACCTGCTAATGAGGTGTGGTGGGCTGATAAATGGCAAACTTAGGACTTGTTTATAGGAAAAAGGAGACAAGTTAGAACACTAACTGTTACATGGTTTTTCAGGACTTTTTAATCATCTTTATTTTCCATCTACTTTTTGGTTTTTAGGGTTTTCCAATTCTGTGCCAGCTTTTTCAGTCCAGAAGCATCAGATGCACAGCATAACACTCAGCAGGGATTTACCYGTGTAGATGCCACAGCCTCTGAGAAGACTGCAGCATCACCAACTGCTAAACAAGTCCTCATCCAGAATGTAAACTTCCTTTCTTGTTCCCTTGCAAACACATGACAGAGCATGTGGAAAACCCCTCTTTGTAGTCAGTACATGCTCTACTTTATACTCTTGTGATATCTCTGCACAGATGACCATTCTCAAGATGACAGTAAACCTGGCTGTTGAATTACATGGTCCAAATAGAAGATTCATTTTTGAGCAACTCATCTCCAAAATCTGTCTTGGTGTTTTTGTTTTTGTTTTTTTTTTTTTTCTTTGTTTTTTGTTTGGTTGTTTTTTTTCTTTTTTTAATAGAGGTCACTACAGACTCTTCACAAATAAACTTCATTGATTAATAGAAGATATATCAGCGTCTGGACACTGGGTTTGAAAAACTATCTTCAGTGAGGAAGCAGAGTAATTCCCTGCCAAAGAAGCAGTTTTTGCTAAGAAATCCTATCCCCAGCAGTATTTTGAAGATAAAAGTTTTGTACTCTAAAGTAGTCTAAGCACTGGAAAAACTCTATGATCTATAATGAACTCCACCAAATTGACAAAAATGTTAGATTGCACTTTGCAGCACTATACAGGAAATCCCAAGACTAATTAGTTTCTCTTTTTTATACAATTGCATTATCACAAATTGTTCTTGCTGTCACAGCTGGCCTTGGGACTATTTACTTTTTTTTTGTTTTTGCAAGCATTTGGACTATCATTCATGTTGAGAGATAGCTATATTCCTTGCACACAAATACCAAAGGAAATGATCATAATCTGAGAAGCTTCAGCTCCTGAGGCTTATTTTAATTATAACAGGTATAGCAAAACAGTTCTTAGGATTGACTTTTTTCCCCTGTAATTGTGGGATCAGCAATGGTTTTATTCAGAATTTTTTTAATTTTGGCTTTTGAATTTTCTTCTTCCTGTTTACCTCTTTTAAAGTCTCTTTTAGATACTTTTTATGGTATTAATTAATATTTTATATGGTAATTGTTAATATTTTTAAATTATATTTGAATTCATCTGAAGTTGTCAAGTATCCTTTGTAGGATCATGGTGTGAAAAATTATTAAATTCWCTGCATTGTTTTCCTGCAGGAATATCTACCCCACAACATGGAGGAAATTAATAAGAAGATCTATTTTCTGTCCTCTCATACCAAGAACAACAAAGGATAGGAAATGTTGCCTTACTAACCTACTGATTACCTTTCTTAGGGAAACCAGTTCTCTCTGAAATAGATGGTCCATGGGAGCTTCTCAGATCTAAGCAATGTCTGCTCATTGTAATTTCAACGAAAAAAAAAATCTACATCATTAATTTTTCACCCTCCATAAATTCATCCTTTTCTATCAATGAGCATAATAAAATATATATTAAGGATATATCTGTTTCTAATCTCTACACAACTGCACAATTTTCCTTCCTGCCTTTAAAAAAAAAGCTTCTTTCTCTTTCCCCTCTCACTTCTTCTTTGTTTTTGTTTCTGTTGCTCTCATAACCTGCTCTCTTTCCATCATCTTACTTTTTCCAGACTCCTTGAAAACCACATTACATTCTTCCAAGCTAACCCCCAGGGTATGATGTTTTTCAAAAAGCACAACTCCAGATGACACTATTTTCCACAAGATTCACTGGAGAAACTGGCAGCCCATGGCATGGCTGGGTGCACTCTTCACTAGGTAAAAAGCTGGATGGATGACTGGGCTTAGAGAGTGGTGGTGAAAGGTGCTGCATCCAGTTGGTGGCTTGTCACAAGTGGAATTCCCCGGAGATCTGTGTTGTTTAATATCTTTATCGATGATATGGACAAAGGGCTGGAGTTGTCCAGTTTGCAAACAAATCCAATTTGTCTGGGAGTGTTAATCTGCTGGAGAGTAGGCAGGCTCTGCAGAGGGATCTGGACAGGCTGGAKGRATTTGCTGAGGTGAGCTRCATGAGGTTCAACAAGGTGAGGTGACAGGTCCTGCACTTTGGCCACAGCAGCCTCATGCAGCTCTACAGGCTGGGGACAGAGTGGCTGGAAAGCTACCAGCAGAAAAGGACCTGGGGGTGCTGGTTYAGTGCCCAGGTGGCCAAGTGGCATCCTGGCCTGTGTCAGCRACAGTGTGGCCAGCAGGACCAGGGCAGGGATTGTCCCCTTGTACTCAGCACTAGTGAGGTAACACCTCAAGTTCTGCATCCAGTTCTGGGCCCCTTAATGCAGGGAGGACACTGAGGTGCTGGAGAGTGTCCAGAGAAGGGTGACAAAGCTGGTGAAGGGTCTGGAGCACAAGTCCTTTGAGGAGCAGCTGAGGAGGCTGGAGTTGTTCAGCCTGGAGAAGAGTCTCAGGGGTGACCTTATTGTTCTCTACAACATGGAAAGGAGGATGCAGCTGGGTGGGGTTCAGCCTCTTCTYCCAGGGAACCAGCAACAGGACAAGAGGAAACGGCCTCACACTGCACCAGGTGAGGTTCAGGTGGGACATCARGAAGAATGTTTTTAACTAAGAGGGTGATCAAGTCACCATCCYTGAGGGTGTTTAGAAGACATGCAGATGTGCACTTGGGGACATGATTTATTGATGGCATACTGGGTTAATGTTTGGACTCTGTTCTTACAGGTCTCTTTCAATGTAAAAGAYTGTATTAAAAAAAAGTACCTACCCAATTTGAAATTTAATTTAACTGAGCTTTATTTCATGTTTCAGTCTTGGAGGATAGGGAGCTTTTCTGAGCAAATTGAGAGAATAGAATATTGTAGTCTCTCAGAACCCCACAAACKGTGCAATGACTATAATACTTGAAATCTCTTAGCAATTTAAGGCTTTGAAATTCAAATAACTACTCTCTTCTACAGAATCCTGAACTGCAAAATGTCCTGGTGTCACACTGAGATGATCTGCTTTGCTGGGATAGTTAGCATCAAAACAGAGAAAATAACCTGTGCTGACCAACACAATCCAGTCAGACTTTSTTTATGTACAGAGGCATGAACGCTTGAAATTTTTGTCTAAACTGCAGCTTAACTTTCTACCRAGAGACTTTGATGTTACAGTGAAAAGCACAGAAGGTGAGAGGGTTACATGTCAGAGCCAGGAGAGAYGGTTTAGACAGGCAGACGGATTTACAAAGTTTTCCTGAGTATCTGAGACAATCTTTAAAAATGTTTCAAATGTGGAGGTGACTTCTTGTCCTACAGTATACGGCAAAAAAAAAAAAAAAGAAAAGTTTCTTTCACTTGATATCAGGCCATAGCGCCATGTGATGCATGGTATCCCAAGCAGGTTTCGCATCTGGCATCAGCCTGGTTTTGCTTTTGTTTCCTGGCACTCCCTGCTTTCAGTAATGTGCTCAGACCAATGCTGGTAGGTCCTAGATCTTAGGGTCCTAATCAGCACAGTCACAGAAATTTGCTTTGAATATTAAATGCTTGAACATGCTAGTACCAAAATATATATGCGTGAAAGCAAGCAAATCTGGCATGCAGATCTSCCTTTTAATCAGGATTACTTTATTACTATGCAAGCCAACCCACCAGAGATTCACAAAAATCAAGATGGTAACTCCACCCTGCTGCAGGTGTGTTGAACAAGACAGAAAGTAGAGGCAGAAATTCAGGTGTGGACAAGCAYCAGACAGCCCTTTCCTGGGAGCAATTCCACAGTTTCATGTATGAGAGACCACAACTGCTTAGGACACRTACCTGGCTGTAGCTCTGGATGGCACCTCTGGCCTGACTGCTGCGGGATGGGAGCTGGGCGGAYGCTGTTTCGCCCAGGGCGAGGGTCTGGTTGCTGTGGTAGCTGGCTGARTACTGAAAGGATCCTTCAGGTTTGGAATTGAGCTGGAGTGCACTCTGGGAGAGGAGGCTGGGYCCTGTGGGGACAGGATTTGAGAGCAGTCAGAAAGTCTCAGTGACAGAGATTATCTGTATTATCTGTCAAGTGAACCTTGAAATTATCAGATGTATCTGACTTCAGATTTTCAGAATGTCACTTATCCATAATAAAAGTACATACATTACTTTGTTTCTTTACCACTCAGTCATCATATTCAAGCAACCGACCACATTGCTTTCTTTGCAAGAAATACATGGTTTTGACTGGCAAAGAAATTCTATGCGTGAACAAATCCAACCATACTATTTGATAAAGAACTCTTGCTTTTCAACTCAGAATAGCTGATGAGGGTTTTTCCCCCTAAGGATAAGCCTTGTTTATTTCACTTAATTATATCCACTCGTTCTGCCTGGGAAATGCTAACTTGTCCCTCCCTGAGCCCCGAGCACATTAGATCTATTGATTACTGCCACTGTCCCGAACACACAGTGATGTAACACTTTGGTGCCTGTAGGGATGGATGGCATCTTTTAAAATATTAATTGCTCTTCTCCTCATGCAGGACACACCCTGTTCTCAGTGAATCTTTAACAACTGTTTTGTCAACTATCTTATCTTCCCCACCACAGCACCACACAGCAGGAGAGTCAAGTATGGGCAGTGAGCCTGAACTGGGGTTGCCAGGCTGAAGGGCATGTCAGGACCATGAACACTGGCACTTTCCACAGCTTTTTAGTAGTTCTGTGAAACTAAAACATGTTCTGATATTCATTAGGTTCATGTATAAGTGATTTAGCTTACCATTTGCACATAGCAAATTTCTCAATTTTTACCCTGAGACCATGTATCAGACACCTGCAGCAAATCTGGAGATGATACCAAGCTGGACGGTGCAGGTGACACACCTGAAGGATGGGATGCCATCCAAGGGACTTGGACAAGTTCAAGCAGTGGAGAAGTGCATGGGAGTCTCATGAGGTTTAATGAGACCAAGTGCAAGGTGCACCTGGGTCAGGGCAGCTGCAGTACCAACCCAGGCTGGGGATGAGCAGATCCAGAGCAGCCCTGCTGAGAAGGACTTGGGGGTGCTGGAGAGGCTGAGACCCAGCCATGTGCACTCACAGCCCAGAGAGCCAAACGTGTCCTGGGCTGCATCCAAAGCAGCGTGGGCAGCAGGGGAGGGAGGGGATTCTGATCCTCTGCTCTGCTCTGGTGAGACCCCACCTGGAACACTGCACCCAGATCTGGGGCCACAGCACAGGAAGGACATCTGTTCGAGCAAGTCCAGAGGAGGGCCACCAAGTTAGATGGAGCACCTCTCCTGTGATGAAAGGTTAAGAGAATTGGGATTGATCAGTCTGGAAAAGTAAAGGCTTCAGGGTGACCCAACTGTGGCCTTCCAGTGACCTGAAATGAACCTACAAGAAAGATGGGGAGATTTCTTATAAGGACATGTAGTGACAGCGCAATGGGTTCACACTGACAGAGTAGCTTTAGATTAGCTATTAGGAAGAAATTCTTCCCTGTGTGGTGAGGCAATGGGTACAGGCTGTCCAAAGAAGCTGTGGTTAACCCATCCCTGGAAGTGTTCAAGGCCAGGTAGGATGGAGCCCTGAGCAACCTGGTGTAGTTGAACATGTTTTAATCCACAGCTGGGGAATTGGAACTAGATGATCTTATTGGTCCTTTCTAACTCGCATTCTGTGATTCTATGATACATGGAGAGCAACATTAAAGAATACACACTTAATCCTTTCTCTGTCTCCACTGATTTTAGTCTCTTTTGGTGTCTGGGCCCAGGACATGAACTACAAGAGGAGGGAAAAGGGTTATACCTTGGCCATCAATTGCATGGGTCACCCTCAAGCCACAAGCTACCATCTAGAGCACACTCAGGGGCTCTACAGGGATGACAGGTGCATCTTCTGGTTAGCACTAACAAGCTCACGAGACTACAGAAGGTGACACAAACCTTAAGAGATGTGAAAATATTACAATGATTTTGCTCCCACAGACCACATGGTAAGTTCAGTTTTGAACAGACTCACAATGGAAAAATTCCAATGAATTTACCAGAAATAACTTCCAGTGCATTCCTGATACAAAGGCAGTTTTTCATGACCTTTAAGTCTTTGCTGTGAGGATGTAAAGCTGTTCCAAAAAGATTTCCACTTAGAAAATGTGCAAACAATCCCACCCCCGAACTACACAGAGAGTATTTTTTCCACTAGTCTATTTCTCAGAAATGGCAGAATTATTATAACTGCTGTTTTCCAAAATCCAACCTGAACCGCTCATATTATAAACAAATTGTAGTAGGCTATGTAAAGAGAAAGTGTTTCCATCTAAATGTAGACTGGGATTTTGACACTATTTTACATATCAACACAATTTATACTGCAAAATCAACTGCATTCATCAGAACATTTGAGATATAGGACAAATTCAGAATCTAAGTTCTGGTCCCTGTATTTTCCTTACAAGCACAGAAGGAAGCAGGGCTCCATGTATGCTGTGAGGCTATTGAAAATATATCATATCCATAGGAGGGCTGAATTTAATCCTCTATGGGTGCTTATAAATCCAGCCTTTGGTACTTTTCATTCCCTGACTCTGCAAATAGGGTTTACTTAGCATTTTCCATTTAACTGGTTTTGTTGCAAAATTTCTTCTTAAATGAAAGAAATACTTTCACAGATTCTTTTAAAATAGCATAAAGAAAACACATGCTTAATTTTAAAAAGATCTGTGGGGCTTATTTCAATCTTTTGGATTTTGAATTTCACTGAAAATTTGTTGGTGATCAAATGATGAACAAGATCAAGTTCAGAAATTTTACAAAAGCGTAACTTTCCCATGAGAAGCAAAAGTTGCAGCACGAAAGCAATTTTTGTGCATGAAAGTGTTTGTACTCATTCTGAAAGTAATTATGCTGTGACATTTCTAAAGCCTAAATAATGATTAAACTATCACATGCCATGAACGCAATATGTTTAAATTTTCATTGCATCTGGCTTTCAAGTGCTGCTTTCATATTACTGTGGCTCACCGGGGGATTTACATCGCCAGCTAGAAACACATACATGGGTTCCCTGCACCATTTAGTTTAAACACTTCTGTGCAATTAAAGAAACTTATCCAACCCTTTGAAAAAGAGAATTGAAAAAGTTTGGCACACATAGTTTAAAGTTCACTAAAATATTAGTTCTATTTAGCAGTTTTTATTTTGTACCTTGACAAGCAGTAATCAACAATTAAAACACATATACATTTTAATAATTACAAATTAATTTTAAAGAGACAGCCAGAGAGATATTTTAAATAAGCCTAGAACTTTAAATAAGACAAAGCAAATTTAAAATAGAGTAGTGGCTGCTCACCTGTAAATAACAAAATCTAAAGCAAGCGTACAAACTAGAAGATAATTTGAGATCTATCAATGTGACCATGAAAAGACATGAGTTCTTTTTTCAGGATTTAGGGACTACAAGCAGCCCCACCTTGTCTGACAGGGAAAAGATGGATTGCTTTTCTCATTAGCATTCCTCAGATTTCAATCTGAAGGTAAAACCAAACTTTCTGAAGAGCCTGCAGCTCACTCATAAGTTTGTTTGTGTTCTTCTGTATGCTGATGGCTCTTGACAATAATCTACTGTTTCTTCCAGGCTAAAATTTAAGCTCCGTTGTGTTGGTAGAAGAAAGCATTCATCTAACTATTTTTCATTTGCTTGCAGAAGAGTAAAGGCAGCTGGAAATTCTCTATTTTCATCTAGACACTGGAAATCACTAGTTAAGTGCTAGCACAATTCCGTTTTAGTAGCTCCCTTAATGAGACATAATTACTACAATTGTTCCATTTAAAACAAACACTTTGGGCTTTACAAGATTTAGTATAGCAGATATTGATGATCTGTAGTATCACTTTAAAAATTTGTGCTATGATTTGTTTCCATGTGAGGGTATGGGGAAGATATAAATACCTGTTCTCCCTTATGTTTTTCACCACCACATTAAAAAAAAAAAATCCTAGTGAAAGAATATTGATATTGGATTATTCAGGGTTGGTGGTACTTACTAATTTCTCACTGATTCACATAGCGCCACTTTCCTCCTGTATTAAAATAGTCGAGTTAAGAGTGAAAATTCAGGAAACTAAGTGAGAGCCATCATACTGCAAGAGACGCCGCTGTGGACTGACTTCCAATGATGGAGAAGGATAAATGAATCAGTCCTTTAACTTGTCTCCACTTTGGTGGACAGGTACTGCAGATAATACCTTCACCTTCCTCTTAGGCTCGAGCAGAGCAGGATGCAAGCCTCCCTGCATTGCTCACCTTGGCCTCTGTAACCCAGCTCAGTGAGGAGCTCCAAGGAGAGGGGGAGACAGGTGTCATGCTTGGGACACAAAGTGCACTTAAGTGGGGTAAAGCTGCTGGAGCAGAGAAAACAGGCAAGAAAAGGACAAGATGTAGATGGAGGAAATGCTTACATCAGGGAGACAACCCACAAAGAAACTTTACAGGTGATGGAGAGCAGAAGACTTTTCTATGAATCAGCAAAGAGAAAGAGGATTTTCTTTTGTGGTTTGGAGGCCCAGGTGCTGGCAGGCATGACCAGGAAATGTCATGTTAGAGGAAAACGAGTCTTCCATTCAGGCAGTGATGGGAAAGGGCTTCTTAGTTTATATTACCTACCCCTCTTACTGGCACTTATATTGGCTATTATATGGCTATTACTTTATTTCTAAACTTACTAGTTTAAGAGGTGTCAAGGATCTAAGAGTACCTTGCACACTTACTTCACACCAAACAGGGAACAGGAGCAGAGGCAGCTCTCTCTTACTGAAAGAGCCGCACTGAAGCCCACACTTGCCATCTTCCTACCACGGTGCATTTGACCAAACAAACACAGACTGACATTACACTGACCCAGCTGGTCCGTGGCACTGAGCACACTGCGTGTGGCCAGGAATGTGACCTGGTGGGCTACAGGCTCCACACAAGCCATAGCACAGAAGAGGTTCCACAGCATCTTCCA